TTCTAGTTTCAGGACAATAACCTGTGTTTAAAGGTATTGATCTTTATGAAATTGTACTACAAGGTTCCATATCACAAAGGGAAAGCTGGGTTTGAGTTTGGGGGTAATTGCCCTAAACGTTTAGGAATTTGGGGCCAAAAGTGGAAAAAAAACCAAGCATTTTTCTAGTTTCCAGACAATAACTTGTGTTCAAGTGTATGGATCTCTCTGAAATTGTACTGCAAGGTACCATACCACAAAGGGAAGGCTGGGATTGATTTTGGGGGTAATTAAGTCTCCCAAACGAAGTTTGGGAAGACTTATTGTTTTTGCTCAGTTCTTATTATTATTATTATTCTTCTTCTTCTTCTTCTTCTTCTTCTTCTTCTTCTTCTTCTTCTTCTTCTTCCGCCGCTTTTAAATTTGAACTTGTCCGCACCCGTTCTCCAAAACCGCTGGTCAGATTAACTTAGGGTTTCACAATATGTTAGACTAACATGTCTAGTGGTGCAATCAGGGTTTTGTTTGTGCAATGGGGTTTATAAAGGGGTACTTTGAGGGGCAAAAAGAAAAGAGGGTTTTACTATAGAACCCTATGGGATTTTATTTTTTTAAATTTTCAAATGATTATAAATTGAAAACCGTTTGTGATAAACACAATCTTTTTAATTGAAAATGTTCTAAATGATAAGGGCCATGAAATAAAATACAGGGTTAGTCCCCAGGGGTCTACCCCACCCCCTGCCATTTAAGAAAGTTCTAATACCTTGAAAGTGGTCAAGATCCCCACCCCTAAACCATATATATTTTGGTTTGTCATGCTAAGATGGTTTGAATGATATACAGGGTTAGTCCCCAGGGGTCATCCCGACCCCCTGCCATTTGAGAAAGTTCTAATATCTTGTAAATGGTCGAGATCCACACCCCTAAACCATATATATTCTGGTTAGTCATGATAAAGCACGTCAAATGAAAAACAGGGTGAGTCCCCAGGGGTCACCCCCACCCCATGCCATTTAAGAAAGTTCTAATATCTTGTAAGTGGTCAAGATCCCCACCCCTAAACCATATATATTCTGGTTTGTCATGCTAAGATGGTTTGAATGATATACAGGGTTAGTCCCCAGGGGTCATCCCGACCCCCTGCCATTTGAGAAAGTTCTAATATCTTGTAAATGGTTGAGATCCCCACCCCTAAACCATATTTATTCCTATTTGTCATGTCTCGAACATTTGAATGACATATAAGGTCAGTCCCCAGGGGTTCCCCCCACCCCCAATGTTCTAATATCTTGTAAATGGTTGAGATCCCCACCTCTAAACCATATATTTTCTGGTTTGTCATGCCAAGATGATTTGAATGATATACAGGGTTAGTCCCCAGGCATCACTAATGCATATAACTTTACTGGACCAAACCAATTTTCACTGGACGTTGCCCAATGTCAGGTGAACCTGGGAATTACGAATTATGGGAGCTTCGTTTGGGAGACTTCGTAACAGCATCCTGTTACAATCATTTCTTGTTGCCTCAAAATTTTAGGAATTAGGGGCCAAAAGGGGCAAAAAAACAAGCATTTTTCTAGTTTCAGGACAATAACTTGTGTGTAAATGTATGGATCTTTATGAAATTGTACTACAAGGTTCTATATCACAAACGGAAAGCTGGGTTTGAGTTTGGGGGTAATTGCCCTAATCGTTTAGGAATTTGGGGCCAAAAAGGGGTAAAAAAACAAGCATTTTTCTAGTTTCCAGACAATAACTTGTGTTCAAGTGTACGGATCTCTCTGAAATTGTACTACAAGGTACCATACCACAAAGGGAAGGCTGGGATTGAGTTTGGGGTCGTTGAATCATAATGGGGTTCAAAAAATTTGAGGGGGGATTTTTTTTTCCTTTTTTTTCTTTAAAATTTTCCATTTTAAATTGGTTATTTCTGATTTATATATATAAGCAAGTAATAATGATATGGTTTGAATAGGCAAATTAAATTTTTTAAGTTCTTAGACCACATTCATTCTGTGTCAGAAACCTATGCTGTGTCAAATATTTATAATCACAATCCAAATTCAGTGCTGTATCAAGCTTGAATGTTGTGTCCATACTTGCCCCAAATGTTCAGGGTTCGACCTCTGAGGTCGTATCAAGCTGCGCCCAGCGGAGCATTTTATTGAGAACTTGTAAACGGTCAAGATCCCCACCCCGAAACCATATATATTCTTGTATGGGACAATAAATCAAATCAAATGAAATATAGAAGAATTCCATGGGGGTAACCACAACCCCCCTTCTTTTTGATAACTTGTAAACGGTCGAGATCCCCACCCCTAAACCATATATCTTCTTGAATGGGACAATAAAACAAATCAAATGAAATTGAGGGGAAGTCCCCTGGGGAAACCCCCACCCCTTTTTTTTGAAAACTTGTTAACGGTCAAGATCCCCACCCCGAAACCATATATTTTCTTGTATGGGACAATAAAACAAATCAAATGAAATATAAGGCGAGTCCCCTTGGGTCACCCCCACCCTCTCCTAATTGAGAACTTGTAAACAGTCGAGATCATTACCCCTTAACCATATATATTCTTGTATGGGACAATAATACAAATCAAATGAAATATAGGGGAAGTCCAGGGGGGGTCACCCCCACCCCCCTTTTTTTTGAAAACTTGTAAACAGTCAAGATCCCCACCCCGAAACCATATATATTCTTGTATGGGACAATAAAACAAATCAAATGAAATAAAAGGCAAGTCCCCTGGGGTCACCCCACCCCCTCTTGTTTGAAAACTTGTAAACGGTCGAGATCCCCACCCCTAATCCATATATATTCTTGTATGGGACAATAAAACAAATCAAATGAAATAAAAGGCGAGTCCCCTGGGGTCACCCCACCCCCTCCTGTTTGAGAACTTGTAAATGGTCGAGATCCCCACCCCTAATCCATATATATTCTTGTATGGGACAATAAAACAAATCAAATGAAATATATGGAAAGTCCATCGTGGTAACCCCCACCCTTCTTTTTGATAACTTGTAAACGGTCAAGATCCACACCCCTAAACCATATATATTCTTGAATGGGACAATAAAACAGATCAAATGAAATTGAGGGAAAGTCCCCTGGGGTAACCCCCAGCCCCCCTTCTTTTTGAAAACTTGTAAATGGTCAAGATCCCCATCCCCGAACCATATATATTCTTGTATGGGACAATAAAACAAATCAAATGAAATATAGGGTGAGTATCCTTGGGTCGCCCTACCTCCCTCCTGTTTAAGAACTTGTAAACGGTTGAGCTTTTCATTATTAATAAGATAATACCACATTGAGGTCCAAAGGGTCCTAAATTAAACTTTTGTTTAATTTCATCAAATATTGAATTCTTTGGTTCTTTGATATGCTGATTCTAACAATGTTTGAGTGTTAAATCATATCTAATTTTAGAGAACTTAGTCATCACTGATTGTTGTTATTATATTATTGATTATAATTTGAAAAAATTGCATCATATCTTATTTTAGAGAACTCTTTATCCAGTTTGAGTTATTTCCATTTGCACAGAAAATAGTATGGATAAAATTAACCTGTGTTTCATTTCAACATAAATTAAATATATATATAGGGTTCTTTCAAATGCTGAATCTAAACTCTATTTAAATATTAGATTTTTAGGCCCAGTTTTCAAGTTGGTCCAAATCAGGGTCCAAAATTAAACTTTGTTTGATTCAACAAAAATTGAATTTATGGGGTTCTTTGAAATGCTGAATCTAACCATGTATTGAGAGATTTTGGATTGTGGGCTCCTTTATCAAATTGGTCCACATTGAGGTCCAAAGGGTCCTAGAATAAACTTTTGTCTGATTTCATCAAAAATTGAATTCTTGGGGTTCTTTGATATGCTGATTCTAATATGTACTTAGATTTTGGATATTGGACCATAATAGGTATTTAAATGTCCAATTTCAAATATATCAGTTCTTTGACTACATTTATTTTGTGTCACAAACCTATGATGTGTCAAATATTCAATCACAATCCAAATTCAGAGCTGTTTTAAGTTTAAATGTAGTGTCCATACTTGCTCAACTGTTCAGGGTTTCGACCTCTGCAGGAAAATCCGGTTTGCTGTCTCTCTGACAGCCTCTTGTTAAAAATTAAAAGGATTAAACGCATTTGTAAAGGAATTTATTATAGGATTAAACACATTTTTTCTAGAGGTTATTGATGCGTAAACTGGGCGATTAACTCACAAACTGAATTTGGGTCCCTTACAAACTTCACATAAAAGTCCAGTTTGTGAGTTAATTGCCCAGTTTACGCATCAATAACCTCTAGAAAAAATGTGTAACAAAAAAGTAACAAAATAATCTTAAGATTAAGAGTTTTCATTCGTATCATGTCATCTTTGCCATGACTTTAACGCGGTAAGATCATTCATGATATTTCACGGAATTTTATTTTATTCAAATGTCATACATTTTCCAAGCCTGATTGCATTATTTCTTGTTTCTATGCTTAAACAAATATGTAATTTGTTTTACAATCTCAATTGGCTTAGTACCACTGGATCACACACATGTGTATAGCGCATTTATAGATCACAGTGAAAGTAGATTCGGTAACATGGTTTATCAATGTGTAAACCAAGTGAAAAACTTCTAATGGACCAATCCAAATCCAGTATTTGTAGATATGCAAATCATATAAGAATTATTGGTGTATAAACTGGATCATGTCAACAGTCATTCACAAACATATCATAAAAGTCCTTCAGACTCTTATTTGTTAGTGAACTGGTCCAGTTTATACACTCAATAAATTCGTTTAAAAAGGCATTTATTATGATATAATCAGTGATTATACATAATTTCTGAAAATTTCAGTGATACATAATCCCTAATTTTACAAATTCACTGTAACATATATAGATATATAAAAAATTATATATAATACATAATAATTAAGTTGTTAAATCATATTTGTGATGAAAAGTTAACTGTAGTCTCTTGTGTTTTAGAAGTGACAGAATCAAGTGTTGATCCTTTGCATGAAGAGTTTGATGATACAAACAGGAACACTGGATTAATGGAAGCTTCAGTAAGTTGTATTCTCTTTTGTTATATATGTGTACACAATTATGTTCCTATTAAGCTCACCTGGCCCAATAGGCCAAGTGAGCTTATCTCATCACTTGGCGTATGTCGTGGTTATCGTTGCTGTCTGTGGTCTGTTAACTTTTACAAAAATCTTCTCCTCTGAAACTACTGGACCAAATTTAACCAAAAGTTGGCCACACTCCTCATTGGGGTATCTACTTTAAAATGTGTCTGATGACCCCGTCTACCAGCCAACATGGCAGCCATAGCTAAAAATAGAACATAAGAGTAAAACACAGATTTTAAACTACCACAAAGATTTTGGGGTCATATATTACTATCACGTCGTTGATTGCATCGTCATCCTCGTCAGCATTGTTGTCATTGTTGTTCGAAGACATTTGGTTTCCGGACATTAACTTTAGTTTTAGTGTATGGATCTCTATGAAATTTATTCAAAAGGTTCAATACCACAAAATGAAGGTTGGGATTGTTTTGGGGATGATGGTCCCAACCGTTTAGGAAGTAGGGGCCAAAAAAAGCATTTTTCTAATTACAGGACAATAACTCGTGTATAAGTATTTTGATTGCTCTGAATTATACCACAAGGTTCAATATCACAAGTAAAAGGCTGGGATTCATCTGGGGGTAGTTGCCCAAACCATTCAGACATTCGGGGCCAAAAAGTGTTTAAAACAAGCATTTCTGTCCCTCGCATAAAACGTTGCTGGGGACATGGAAATACCAGGCGACTGTCCGTGTGTCCATCCATCCGTCTGTCTGTCCGGTCTTTTTAGCCCTCTCACAGGTACAATTCTTGCCAGATCTTTTTAAATATATATATAGTATATAGTCTGAAAACAGATTTACTAAGTATTGTGCAACAGCACAGTGTATTGCACATGTACATGAGCAAGAAATCTTCAATTGAATATAAATTCAAATCATATAACCAATTTCAAGTTCTTTGACTACATTTATTCTGTGTCAGAAACCTATTAAGTGTCAAATATTGAATTACAATCCAAATTTAGACCTGTATCAAGCTTGAATATTGTGTCCATTTTTGCCCCATTACTCTTCAGGGTTGGACCTCTGCGCTCGTTTCCGGCTGCGCTTGGCGAAGCAGTTTATTGGCTTATATCTCTGACACTTAAGCATTTAGAGCAAATCTGACTATGGGTAAATATTTAATCAGTTTAAGATCTATATGCCCTGACATTTTCAGACGAATCAGATAACCCGTTATTGAGTTGAGGCCCCTGAATTAGTAATTTTAAGGAAATTTTGCAGTTTTTAACTGGATTTTCAAAGGAAAAAATCGGTTATTGATTTGGGGATGTATTGAAAGGCGGGTGGGCGGTTGCCAAACAGTGTCCGTTCAATAACAGGAAAACCCTATTACCAAATTTTGTTCAAATTTAGATATGTTGTTTGCTGTGACTAAATGAAGATCAAGTTCAATTTTAACGATTTTAGATTTTCTCCTTGTTGAGTTATCACATTTTATGCCCCCGCCGTAGCAGAGGGGGCATTAAGTTTTACCCTTGTCCGTCTGTACGTACGTACATACGTACGTCCCAAAATTGGTTTCCGTTCTCTAACTTTAGTTTGCCTCAACCAAATGTTATGAAACTTATACACAATGCTAATTACCTTAAAACACAGATCATTTTAAATTTTAATGGCATCACTTTTACCGTTCTAGAGTTATGCCCCTTTACAAAAGGAAAAATTGCTGATTTTTTTGTTTCTGTTCTGTAACTTTAGTTTGCCTCAACCATATGTTATGAAACTTATACACAATGCTTATTACCACTAAACACAGATCAAGTTTAAATTTTAATGGCATCACTTTTACCGTTCTAGAGTTATGCCCTTTACAAAAGGAAAATTGCTGAATTTTTTATTTCCGTTCAATAACTTCAACCAAATGTTATGACACTTTTACACAATGCTTATTACCACAAAACACAGATCAAGTTTGAATTTTGGTGGCGTCACTTTTACCGTTCTAGAGTTATGCTCCTTTACAAATGGAAAAATTGCTGATTTTTTTGTTTCTGTTCTGTAACTTTAGTTTGCCTCAACCAAATGTTATGAAACTTATACACAATGCTTATTACCACTAAACACAGATCAAGTTTGAATTTTGGTGGCGTCACTTTTACCGTTCCCGAGTTATGCCCCTTTCCAAATGGAAAAAATTGCTGAAGTTTTCGTTTTCGTTCTCTAATTTTAGTTTGCCTCAATCAAATGTTATGAAACTTATACACAATGCTAATTACCACAAAACACAGATCAAGTTTGAATTTTGGTGGCGTCACTTTAACCGTTTTAGAATTATGCCCCTTAATAAATGGAAAAATTTCAAAAATTTTATTTTCTTCAAAATATCAAGTAATTTTTTATATTGGAGTTATCTTCCTTTGTCCATGATTATAGTTGAATCAACTACAATCAATGCTTTATACAATGCAATGTTTAATTTTGACTTCCATTGATAAAACACAGATCAAGTTGAATTTGGGTAGTGTCACTTTAACCATTATTGAGTTATGCCCCTTTATAAATCGAAAGATTGCAAAATTTTTAGTTTCAATTCTGTAACTTTAGTTTGCCCCAACCAAACATTATGAGACCTATACACAATATTCATTACCACAAAACTAAGATCAAGTACAAATTTTTTGTTTCCATTTTCTAACTTTAGTTTGCCTCAACCAAATGTTAAAAAAACTTATACACAACCGTTCTAGAGTTATGCGTGTTTACAAATAGAAAAAGTTAGAGAACGGAAACGAAAAATTCAGCAATTTTATGTTTATAAAGGGACATAACTCAAGAATGGTAAAAGTGTCACCACCAAATTTCGTACTTAATCTGTATTATGTAGTATTAAGCATTGTGTATAAGTTTCATAACATTTGGTTGAGGCAAACTTTAGTTAGAAAACGGAAACAAAAAATTTGTACTTGATCTTTGTTTTGTGGTAATGAATATTGCATAAAGGTTTCATAATGTTTGGTTAGGGCAAACTTAAGTTACAGAATGGAAACTAAAAATTTTGCAATCTTTCCATTTTTAAAGGGGCATAACTCAATAATGGTTAAAGTGACACTACCCAAATTCAACTTGATCTGTGTTTTATCAGTGGAAGTCAAAATTAAACATTGCATTGTATAAAGCATTGATTGTAGTTGATTCAACTATAATCATGGACAAAGGAAGATAACTCCAATATTAAAAATTACTTGATATTTAAAAGAAATTAAAAAAATTGCATTTTTTCCATTTATAAATGGGCATACCTCTAAAACGGTTAAAGTGACGCCACCAAAATTCAAACTTGATCTGTGTTTTGTGGTAATAAGCATTGTGTATAAGTTTCATAATATTTAGTTGAGGCAAACTTAAGTTAGAGAACAGAAACTAAAAATTTTGCAATTTTTTCATTTATAAAGGGGCATAACTCTAGAACAGTTAAAGTGACGCCACCAAAATTCAAACTTCATCTGTGTTTTGTGGTAATAAGCATTGTGTATAAGTTTCATAACATTTGGTCAAAAAGAATATCAGACTAGCTATGAATATGGCTGGATCACAACATTGACGATGCTTTGATTAGTTTCTGTTCTCTACTTAAGTTAGCCTCAACCAAATGTTATTAGACTTACACACAATGCTTATTACCACAAAACACATCATCAGATCAAGTCTAAATTTGGGTAGCGTCACTTTTACCGTTCTTCAGTTATGTCCCTTTATAACTATATGTTATGCAAGCGGGGGCATCATCTGTGTCCACATGTGGACATTATCCACATTTATTTAATATCCTAAAGTGGTACTTCTAATGTGATTGAGTTATTTCCCTTTGAATATAAATTCAATTCATATAACCAATTTAAAGTTCTTTGACTACAGAACAGAATTTGTTAATTTTATATATAAAGTTTGATTACACTTAGTGTTTTTTTTTTTTAATAATTTTCACCTGTTATCAGATTACAAAGCATATGGTAAGTGTCTTATGACACAATTATATATATAATTATAATTGGAGTGACAGATTTATTTGAAAATGTTCTGTTTCCTAAGTGCTGATGATTATAAGCTATATAGGACTGTATAAATATAGTAAGAAACTTACTGTTCATTTTAAGACATTTTGAAGATAATTACAGATGAGTTTTACAGATTTTTAAAAATTAATTACAAAATATTAATTATAAAATTTGGGATTTTTTTTCTTTTCTTTGGTTAATTGTTTGAAGAATATTGTGGTAGGTTTATTTCTTATTCTGTAAAAACTAATTTTCTGAATGAAATTGTTTTTTTTTCTTGATGAAGTGAACTCCTTTAAAAACTAAGCTTATATCTTCTATTAATAAACATATATTTAGATTTCTGATTTTGGGCCCAGTTTTCAAGTTATTCCAAATCTGGGTCCAAAATTAGACTGTGTTTGATTTCAACATAATTTGAATATAGGGTTCTTTGAAATGCTGAATCTAAATCTGTGTTTATTTTCATTATTAATTAGATAATACCAAATTGAGGTCCAAAGGGTCCAAAAATTAAAATTTTGTTTAATTTCATCAAAAATTGAATTCTTGTGGTTCTTTGATATGCTGATTCTAACAATGTTTTAGTGGTTGAATCATATATAATTTTAGAGAATTTAGTCATCACTGGTATTTGTTATTATATTATCGATTATAATTTGAAAATAGATGTATATATATAGATTCTACCACTGCATCGAGTGTGATACGATATTTATCCACTCGAGACCGTTAAATTTTCAAATTTAAAATTTCACTGTTGAGAGTGGAAAAATATCGTATTACACGAGATTTGGTGGTGGAATCTGTTTCTCTAATGATTTTCAAACAGTACGCAGGCAAATTTATTCCTTCTTTTCGATTGATCTGCAAAAAGATGTGTTCTTTCTATGTGACGTCATCAGGCATGGTCGCCTTTTTTCATGCCGTCACA